TGGGCGACACAGAAAATATGGGACAAATGGACCATTTACAAAAAAAGAAAGTAGGGAACCTGCAGGAGTTTAAATATGGGACTGTCCCTTTATAAACGGTACATCTGGTCACCCTAGCTCTGACACTTAAAAGTGGTGTCACATCTGAAACAGTTGGGGGCTCAGAACTGTTCTTCTGGCCAGGACTTCTTATTTCTGACAGTAAATATTCATTCATTCTCCATTGTGGGCTCTGTTTTATTTGATTGTCATTGAGTTCAGTGCATTTCAGGCGTGTTATGGGTTGTGAAGGTTTTTCTTGATTTCAGAAACATGAATGTTTCATTTTGTAACTCTCACATTTAAGTATTGAGTGATATGTTCTCCACAGCAGATGCCCATTTCATTTGGGTGATAAAGGATGACAGTGTCTGAAAATGGCACTGAATTACTGTACCCTAAAGAAAACTTGATCAGTGCAGGAGACTGGAGTAGAGCTGTATTGCCTCAGAATAAAAATGGTTTATTCCATTTAAACGTAGCTTATCATACAGCTAGCAGTTCTGGCTGTCCCATCTCAAAAATGATGTCTTAGAATTGGAAAAGATGCAGAGAAAGGCAACTAAACTGTTTAGTATGAAACCGCTTCCATACAAAGAGAAATTAAAAAGACTGGCACTGTTGAGCTTAGAGAAGAGACAACTAAGGAGGGACATGCTAGAGGTCTGCAAAGTGAGGAATACTGTGGAGAAAGTGAGTATGAAGTGTTGTTAGCCCCTTCAGATAACACACAACTTAGGGTTACCCAATACAATTAATAGGCAACAGGTTTGCAAACAGAATGAAGTACTTCACACAGCACACATTCAATCTGTGGAACTGGTTGCTAGGGAATTTGATTAGGTTAAAAGAATAACTCAGTTCAAAAAAAGAATTAGATAAATTATTTGAAGATAGGTCCATCAGTGGCTGTTAGCCAAGGTGGTCAGGGATACCACCTGCTTCCTGGTGCCCTAAAACCTGTGACTGCCACAAGCTGAGACTGGATGACCAGGGATGGATCACTTGGAAATTGCCTTATTTTCCCTCTGAAGTTTCTGACACTGACCACTTTAGGAAGACGGGATACTTGGGCTATAGATGGACCATTGGTCTGACCAAACATGGCTGTTTTTAAGTTTTGGATCTCTTTTTTGAGATTTCCTTGGCACTTTCATTGTGTTTAACTGTGAGTTTCACAATTCCAAACTTCCAGTCCCTTGCCAAGCTAATGCTATAGTGCTTTGTGTTTTATTTTTGGATATTTGAATGTCATATAGTAGATATGATTTGGTTTTGCTTTTCTAGAGACAAGTATGTAGACTTTTAATTGCGTTACAACACTGGAGTATGTCATTCATATTGGGCTTTTTCTTTCTTTTTGGAGGCTGGGAAGTGGGGGTGATAGAGATATTGACATAGGGATGTAAGAGGCTAGTCTGGTAGTTGAGTCTCCACTTGACTAGTTCTCCCTCCTCCCCCTCCCTACTTGCTGCCTCTTACTGCATTTAAAAGACAGAGCCGCAGCAGGGTTTGCTCCTGGGCCAGGAGTTAACCCTGCTGCGGCTCTGCAGTCCCCTCCCCCCCTTCTTGACTACTTAAGTAGTTGATGAAAATTCCATCGAGTACTCGATTAGCTGATTAAACACAATTTAACATCGCTATGGTGACACACACTGTTTTCTTTCAGAAAGTCCTGTTACTCTTTCATAAGGAGACTGTAGTCACTGGTCCCTGACATGATGCTGCAGTGACTCAGTTCTAGATGTTGCTAACATAAAAAGGGCATTCATTTTCTTTGCTCACTTGTACTAGTTGAATTGAAAGACAGAGTCATGTTGCCAACTTGTAAAAAGTATTGTCTCTGCCAAAATCAGTATTGCAGGTCACTGTGGCCATTATATTAGGGAAATTTATTAAATTACTAGATTTACCCTGGCATTCCACAGGCCCTTAACTCAAAAACATTTTTTTTAAATGTATATGCTTCATATGAATCATTGCTCCGAGGTGGGGCTGAGGATGAGGGGTTCAGTATGCAGGCAGTCCCGGGGACTACCACAGCCCTCTCTCACTGCAGCAGCTTGGGGCCAGGTGACAAACGCCTCTCCATGGCTGCTGCAGGGCTAGTAGGCACAGCTGCAGGAGGGGGATGCATTATCCCGACTGGGGAAGTTCCAGGTTCATCTGCCCCCTGCACTTCTCAGCCAGAGTGAGGAATATAGCGAACTGTACACTTTCCCTTCATTCCCTGGCGAAGGGGAACAGCCAACAATGGCCCTACACAGGGCAAGAGCAGTCCCAGACAGGGTGGAGGTGTGCCCCCAGCCAACCTCTTTTACTTGCCTGGTGATTCTGTCTCTTTTGCATGGCTTTCTGAGAAGCAGTCCCATTCCAGGCACATCCAAACCCTTATCTTGCTTTAAGCTCTCATAAGAGGAAGCTGCATACCAAATGTGGTAGCCTAGCTATTACCATTTAGGAGAATACACTTAAAAACAACAAATGGTCTGGTAGTACTTTATAGACTAACAAAACATGTAGAAGCTTCCATTTAGGAGGAGTTACTGAAAAAACATTCAGATACACAAACTTTCTCAAATACATAGTAGATTACCAGCAGACTATCAAAGACAGAATGTCAATTGTCTCTTCACTTAGGTACCTTAGGCCATATAGTGCAGTGTATTTTTACATTAGAGCTGCTGCACTTGCAGGTGTGGGAAACCTACAGCCTGGGGGCCACATGCAGCCCCCGGTTTCCCTGGATCCGGCCCCTGGGGCTCTCGGCTCCCCCCCAGCATTGGGGATCCCCACACTGGTGCTCCCCTGCCATCTCCTCACATGGCTGGGTTTCACAAAATCTACTAATCTAGCCCCCAAGTGTGTGAGGGGAACATGGGGAGTGTCTTTCTCCTTCTCTGTTGGGGACCATGTCAGAGAGGGTGGTTTATGGCCTTTGCTTTTGTTCTTTTGTTTTTTGCTTCTCACTTGTGTGCAGTACCCGACTGATTTTTCTGTGGGTCAGCACCCCCCCAACCCAAAAAAAGGTACCCCACCCCTGCTGTACTGGATTGGACTAGTGTTCTATGTAGGCCAGTATTTTGTCTCTGACAGTGCCCAGTATAAACTGCTTCAGAGGACGATGGAAGAAGTCCCTCAGAGTAGGCAGTTATGGAGTACATGTCTGTGGGGAAAGTTTCTTCTTAAATCTGAATAATTAAAGCTTGGCTTCTGCACTGAAATGCTAGGGGATAACCTCTTCTGAAACCTTGTTTTTTTAAATATTTACTATTACAAATCTGGTTATTGTTATCAGTATAAATACCCAATCTTTTTTTTATATCCTGCTCAACTCTTGGCTTCCATGATATTGTGTGGCAGAGAGTTCTACAGGCTAATTCAGCATTATGTGAATAAATATTTTGTCACTTTCAATTTGTCATCTTTCATCTTATATACATGTCCCTTTGTTCTTGTATTGTAAAGACAGATGAAGAGAAACTCCTGATCTACCTTCTCTAGACCATTCATTATTTTATGTTTCTCACCTCCCCTTTCTCATCTTTCTAAGGCAAACAATTCCAATCTTGTTAAATCTCTTCATGCTAAATTTTGTAACCATTCTTGTTACTAGTCTCTGAATCCCTCCATTTCTTCTGTATTCTTTTTGAGATGGGATGATTAGAACTGAATATAGTGTTCCCTCTGAGAGTGTACTATTCATTTTATGTAATGGAATTATTATTTGTAACTCCAACAACGTGTTAGATGCTTCACAGGTAAGCATGAAGAGAAAGTCTCTGCCCCAAAGAGTAAACAGTCTATATCTACTATGTTAATATCTATTTCAGTGGAAACCTTTGACTCTTAACATCTTTTTGAAAGTTGCATGCAGTAAAGGCTTCATCTGATGTTTATGAACATAGCCGGAAAGTGTCCATTAACTTTAATGGTGCAGGATCAGTGTCTGTAATTGCACCAGCTCTCCCCTTCTCCAAATGCATGCACAATTGCACACCTAGAGACCTGACGAGAAAAACAGGCAAGCTGTTGGTAGCCCTAGAAAAAGTCCAGAGATCATGCATCAATACCGTAGCATGCCCTTGGATTAACCTGAATTTTGTAGCAGGTTTTCTTGGATATATTAAGTTCTAGCAGATAGATTCTTTTCTTTGAATCCCAACTCAGGAAACAACTCAATGCACGTGAAGAGAAAATGTAGCATGAAGCTTTGATATTTATATCTCTTCAGGTTCTGGAAAACTACTCTGATGCTCCTATGACCCCGAAACAGATTCTGCAGGTCATAGAAGCTGAGGGACTAAAGGAAATGAGGTTAGTATTGATCTTCTTGTCTATAATACAGTGTGTGGAGTGTGGGGGAGGGTGCTTAAAAAGCACTGGATTACTTAAAGGAGTTCTTCCTCCTTTCTCTAATCCACCTTTCTTCTCTCTTTCTCAATAATTTGGGGGGTAAGAATACCCTAGCTTTTTTTCTTTAACAGTTGCTACTGGAGGATTTCCAGTTTCTTGTAAACACTGAGTGACCATCTCTGCCTTTCAGTGGAATTGTAGGACTCTTGTAAAATATTCTAAATGCCAACCACTGGCTTGTCTCCAATATAAATGCTTCTCCTGTGTGTGTTTGTGTTTGTGTTCTACAATAAATAACTGCCACTGGTCTGCCAGTGTTGGCTTGTGTTTGTGTAATGAGTCAAACTCAGTCCTCTTTTAAGCATCACCTGTAAAGCAGATTGCTCCTTTTCCTGGGATCAAGGAAGAAGCTTCCCTTATGTATGTAGTATAGAATATGTAGAAAGTGCACTATCACTCCACAGTGTTAATGCTGCTGTATTTTTGTGGCCCCTGATGTATACATTAGGGATGTGAAAGCGTAAACGTGGAGAGCAGCATGAGGGGCAGGCGGGGAGCCGGTCTTCATAGGGAGTCAGCTTTTAAGCTCGCTCCCTGCATGTACCGGTTCCCACAGAGCCTCCTTTCCCCACATGTAGACATGTAACTGCAGAAATGTTCAGGGGTTACATGTTTACCAGAATAAACACATTTTAACACCCCGAGTATACATCACTACATAACGTAAGAAACTACAGGTGGATGGAACCCCAGGTGGTTGGTTTAAATTCATGTTCTGGAATTTCCATCTGCTTCTGTTGAATCTTGGAGAAAGGAGAATCAAATACCTTGGAGGTCAGAGGAAGTAGATTTTTGCTAGCCATCATGCTGAGAACTCCTTAACTTGTGTTACAAGATGAAAGTTTCCAAGTTTGACTGCACATAATAAATGAAGCTATCTGTGATAGTTCAGCATTAATTTACTCACATGTGGGAACTTAACTCTGTGCTGTTCTAACTATGCTCTGTTTTTCTTTTTGGTTTTATGAACTGTCTTTCACCATCTCGCCTGCACCACTGTTGAACTGCTGTCTAACCATAGAAGGTAAATGAATCTCCTTGGGACTGAAGGAGAACTTTTTTCTCATCTCACTATCTCTGAAATTAGGAAACAATTGTGATGGTTTGAGTAGTGAATAGCTTCATAATTCACAGACAGAGGTATAATGCGTAGGAGTTACCATTGTTCAGAGAGGGGCTGTTCAGCATGCTTTACTCCCTTGATAGCAGAGCTGCTAGAACACCCACTTGATACTAAGGATTCCTAGCAATTAGGTTTAGAATGGGAATGGACTTGGGTGATGGTTTCACAGCATGGTGTATGGAGAGTGGAATGAGGATAGGCTTATAGTGAAAAGCTCCATATTCCTTCTCTTCTAATCAGATATTCACTCTGAACTGACCTACTTTCTTTCATCGGTCCTTGTACCTAGAGAGGTAGCTGTGCTGTTTGAGGCTTTATGGGCATTAAGCTATCCTCTGCTAATGGCAGTAACAAGGTGTCTTTTCACTAAAGCAGATTTTCTTGTCTTCCAAGCTTTGACTGGTAACTTGTCAAAATAGGTATCTAAAACCAAATTTGTCTGCATGTTGAAGTTAAATCCCTCAGAGCTTAGTATTTTTTCTAGGGATTGATCTGTCCCTCCAGGTATATCTGCTTCCTTTTACCCAATTGTTAATTTTCTACTTCAGGGAAAGATGGCTGGCTTACTTTACTATATAATTGAGAGGAGCAAGTATTGTTTATAGATCTAGTGTTAAAATACAAAATAACCATCAAGGCTGTGATCTTGTCTAGCTAAATAGCATTGAACTTCATCAATATTTACATGGGGGACTTCAAAGAAAACCTTCTTCCTAAAGGAAGTAGCATGATGACTAAAGGGACACCATCTTCCAGGTTCAGTTCTGAACCAATGCCACCATGATTTGGAAACATTTTGTTGTTGGAATGCTGCCTTTCTGGAGATATACAAAATAGTAGTCTCTGGTGGTTTATGCGAGAGTAGGGTTGTTTGGTCCAGTCTCATGGCTAAATTGTAACCCCACTGAATGTTTTGATGTCTCTTTCATCTACAGTTTCGGGACACCATCTTCCAGGTTCAGTTCTGAACCAATGCCACCATGATTTGGAAACATTTTGTTGTTGGAATGCTGCCTTTCTGGAGATATACAAAATAGTAGTCTCTGGTGGTTTATGCGAGAGTAGGGTTGTTTGGTCCAGTCTCATGGCTAAATTGTAACCCCACTGAATGTTTTGATGTCTCTTTCATCTACAGTTTCAATTAGGGAAGTTAATCTTTTCTTTCCCGACAACTTGCTTGTAATTTATTTGCAGCATTCTGCTCAGTTCAGAGGGGGGAAATGATGTGTAATTTACAAGAGAATGTGGTTGGGATTTCTTTGTGGTGTATAAAAATGACACATGGTAACTGTGGCTTTGGCTTTGCAGAGAAATGCCAAAAAGCAAACCAGCAGCCAAACAATCTTAATCAAGATGAACTGTGAAGTTGTTCTAAATCCTGTTTTCAGTTTGAGAAGTTGAGACTCGATAGTTTGAGCTTTTCAGATTGAAACATTGCACATAGACCGGTTTTCAGTTTCTGTTCTAATAATACTGAACTCTTACATTGCTGTAATAATGTCCCTTTCGGGCTCCAGAGGTAACATTTTACATGTGCACGTGTGATTTATGTGGAAAATCTGATGGTGTAGGTTGGCTGGTTTACTTACAAATGGCAAACAACCACTGAGTTATGTGGGCTGTGTCAAATGAACATCGTTGAAGCCTTTATGCTACACTATACTACAGGCAGTCCCTGGGTTACATGGATCCGACTTACATCGGATCCCTACTTACAAACGGGGTGAGGCAACCCCGCACTAGCTGCTTCCCCCCAGCAGACCAGGGAGACGCAAAGCTAGCACCCCTCCCAGCCGACCAGGGAGACGTGGAGCGGCTTTTCTCAGCAGACACCTCAGCTTGCGAATAAAGGACTGAGGGAAGTGAGGTGTGGGAGAATAAAACTGAGCTCTGGAGAAATGTTTGGCTAGAGTTTCCCCTACAATATGTACCAGTTCCGACTTACATACAAATTCAACTTAAGAACAAACCTACAGTCCCTATCTTGTACGTAACCCGGGGACTGCCTGTACCGTGTAGTCTCTTTGTGTCATGTATGTTGCACGAAACTATTTTGGAAATACCCGAGTTGGTAAACATTTTATTGGTAGGGTTTTGTGTAGTTCTCCAGCTATAAAGCAAGGCTTCCTTAGTACCATGAGTCCAGCTATGAAGAATTCAGAGAGAAAGAGAAATATCTCAAGTTGATAGCCTTCTAAAAATGACCTAGAATGGCTTGAACACTAGTGTAACATGCTGCTTTCCATCTCCTCACCATCCCTTTTGTTACCTGCCTTTGATTTAAACAAATTATAAGGTTTTGTGTATTATCTAAAAATTGGCATTTAGCTAATCTAATCCTCGTCTCCCTTTTTTCTCTCTGGTTTCAGCGGCACTTCCCCCCTGGCCTGCCTCAATGCCATGCTACATTCCAATTCAAGGGGAGGTGATGGACTCTTTTACAAATTGCCTGGACGTATTAGCCTTTTCACGCTCAAGGTAAATTGTGAATTGCTGTCTTCAGGCTGGGGACAAAGAGTGAGTTTAACGTGTTACCTATTGCTGCTGTTGCTAAACCATCACGGGTGATCACAGTATGAGTTCAGCATATTGCCCTTGGTAACGTCATGCGAAACAGAGTCTCTGGGATCCAGAATTCTGTACACAGTGGTTCTTGTGCCTATCAGCCATATATAATACATTTCTGTGGTTTTTAACTTTTGTAGTTCTTAAATTACACAAGCAAGATAAACTCTCTTCTTTCAGTACATGGAATGTTACTGTTTAGTTCATGCAATTTTAAAGGATGGAGCATCATCAAAATAATGAAAGCTGTATGTTTCCAGTGTATTCCCAACCATCCAAAATCCTGTTATCTGAACCTCTTTCTTGTCCCCCGTGTGTTTCATGCTGTAAGACAGGAAAGGGATTTGGATAAGGCGGAGTTTTGTATAACAGCACATTCCTGATCAAGACTGCAAGGAGGAGGAGGACAGACCCCTAGCTATGGGGGAGGCCATCCTGCTACTGAATGGTTTCTGCAGCAGTGTAGTAAGGCCTCTGTTGCCCCACTGTTTTGGAAATAAGTGAACAGGGCCATGATAGCAGAGGTGCAGAGGCCTCCCTGCGCTGCCACAGGTACAAGGAAGATTTGCGGTCATCCTGGCTGAGGATGTGTGCTTTGTCCTGCACTTTGCACCTGCAGGGATCAAGGTTTCACTGGTTGTATGACAGTACAGAGACCCCTCTGCAGCCACACAGTGAAGGAAGTAAGTGGGGAGAAGCAGGTTTCCCCTTCCTCCACCCTGGCCAGGAGTGCAAGGAAGGTGAGAAGAATGAATCCCTGGCTGTGGGGGAGGCCACCATACTACTGAATGGCTCCCGCCCTCTCCATTATCTGAACTCTGAGTTATCTGAACAAAACCAATGTGTATCTGTTGCTATTCACAGTTGAGTTATTTATACCAATATCAAAGGGCTGCAGTCTGCTTATAGATAACAACATTCACTGAAAGTTTGTACAGACAGTCGTTAAAAGTAAATGAAACGTGTGTTTCATTTTTTTTTACTCTGACAACAGTCTGTGCATAGTTCATTCTCCTCCTCATATAGGCTGTTCAGTTTCTTTGCGCTGAAAAGACTCTTACAAACATCAACTGAGGGGGGGAAAATATACATTTTTTAAAGGAATTTTTGTAAAAAGTCAAGGCACGCTGTTTAAAAATGCTTTACCTGAAATACATTTTTTTGCACAAGTTGACAGTTCCTTTAATTTGAAATATAGAAAAATATGCATCTGCACCTACATGCCTCCTTTTCCACCCCACCTCTTTGAATGCACCTCTGAACCTCTTTCTTCTTCCTAAAGATGCCTTATGTTAATGTGTCGTTCTGTGTTGGAACATAGACTGAATTCCAAATTACTTTTATTTGTCATTCGCATAACCAGTAAAAATGAATATCACAAATGTGACATCTCTGTAGCTAGTTAATATTGTTGGCTCTTTATCTCTAGGAATAAAAAGTGTCCAAGCTTCTCATCCTAAGAATGAATAATATTTCTGAATATTAAAAAACCCACAGTCACTGTGCATGGACAGATATGAACAAACTGTTTCATTTTTCTCGGGTATGTTTGAATTACAGATCCGAGAAGGGTCAACTGAGCATTCTAAGAATTCATTTCTACTATTTGAAAAGAGAGCATGAGGGTTAATTTAATTAAAACCAACTTTGCTAACTCCTGTTCTGTTAGGAGCTTGAATGGGAAGTCCCAAGGGATTCAAGTATTGAGGTGAAAAAATAAAGTGAAAGCTGCAGAATCTTCACTGCTGCTGTCTGTGTTGGCAGTCTGAGATCAGAATAAAGCCAAGGGATACTGCCAGAAGGTGGTGGAACAGAGGGCCACAGTTAGGTAAAGGCAAGTGCAGGAATGACTGCAGACAATAAAAATTGCCAGTTAATGCACAGACGGAGGAGCTGTTCTTCCTCCCACTGCTCATGTGTGCGCGTGCGCACACTGCTGTTTTGCATATTTAATTTTGAACCTTAATGTCCATACGAAATGTGATCTTATTGCATGAGTTTCTTTCTCTTTACAGGTCAGGCATTATCTCCTACAGCCCTCATCACTCCATACTTCTTGTGTACATGCCACACACACATTTCAGTGTATCACTTCTGTACTACTAAAATAAATGGGGCACTTACATGATTATGAATACTTCAGGTTAATGTTGCTTGACTGTTTTGATGGGTCACAGTTATTGTGAACATAGGATTAGAGATTGGATTAAAAAATGTTCCTTTGACATCAAGTCATAATTTGGGCATGTTATATGCTAGAGTTTCTTTCTGATGAAGTGTAACTGTAGCCATTAGTATGTGTGTTCCTGTAAACCTAGCTCAGGGAGGGGGATCTACAGCCTATGGGCCAGATCCAGCCTCTGGCTTAATTGGATCCAGCCTGCGTCAAGTCTCCATGTCACGAGCCAAAAGCCCCCAGTTTTGGCATCCCGTTGCTGGAGCTGGAGCACGGTGTGCACCAAGATAAGCATGAGTGACAGGTGTTGGGTTTTTTGCTTCTCACTTTGGTTTTTTTGTTTGACTTTTTTTGCTTGTGTGTGGCTCCTGATTGACTTCTGTGGCTCAGTGGTCCTTGACCAGAAAAAGGTTCCCTTCCCCGATCTAGCTCCTAAAGCTCCAGAGGGAAGGATTCTAATCACTTCTGTTCTGCGTGGCCTTTTTAGAAGGATGCCTTGCAGTGGTCTCGGAACCTGTCTGTGCCAGAGGGAGAGGAGCTGGATGATGCAGTAGATGCAGAAAGCTGTGGGTCCAATGAAGCCAGCACTGTGAGTGGCGATAATGATGGTAAGTGTCAAATAGTATTAATATGAGACCACAGGCATCTTCTTCGGGGTCTGATCACCTGCTCTTTTCTTCCAGTGTCTCTTGATGAAACCTCTTCTAACGCCTCCTGTTCCACTGAATCTCAGAGTAAGAGTCTCTCTGCTTCCAGGGAGAGCTGTAGAACAGCCTCACAGGTAGGAGTGCGTGTGGGGTTAATGGGAAGGGGCAAAGCCATGCGTATTTATTGAGAGATCACAGTGCCACATGAAACTGGGTGGGAGTGAAAGGGTTTAGAGGCACATCAGTGTCTTCCCAGGTAGAGGCAGAATTACAGAGCCAGCTTATGAAGTGGTAATGAGTGAAAGCTGCAGCAAAATGAGAACTGTTACACAAGGCCTTGATTCCAGGGTGAGTGGGTATTGTGGAGGTGGTGAAGGGATTCTGTGCCGTTAAAGATATGCTTAATGAGCGAGGAACATTTGAACACTTGGCTGGTAGCTCATTTGTGGCCAGGTTGAGCTATCTGTCTGAGTTCTTGTAAGAGGAAGTGCAGTTTAGAAAGTATCCTACGTGTACTTTAGCACTCTAAATAGATTGTGCCTGGTTTTTCTCTGGGACACAGACAAGCAAACAAAAGAAAAAGACTGGTGTGATGTTGCCTCGCGTTGTCCTGACTCCACTGAAAGTAAATGGGGCACACATGGAGTCAGCCTCAGGTGAGCATGTTTGTTGTACCTTGTGTGTTTTCAGCCAATAGCCTGTTATGGCCCTTCAGCATTGGTCCTGTGTAAGCTTTTCCTAGGCCAGGACAGGGGAAAACTGTATTTAGTGCTCACTACACGTACAAGTGATTCAAATTAATTTGTGTAGTGCTGCTGTATTGGATAAACATTGTATGTAATATAATCAGTCCCCCAATCAGACCTGCCGGGGATGGAGAAATGGTCTCATTTTGTTTATCTCCCTCAATGGAGCTTCTGCTACTCATCCACGAATCTGTGACAAGTGGCCTTGCCTTTAGGTTTCACAGGAAGGCATGCAGATGGAGAGAGCAGCAGCACTTCCAGCAGCAGCAGCTCCTCTTTGGCCCTGTGTAGTGCCACCATGCGCACTAGGGCAGAAATCAGCAGGGATCCTCCACAGCTGCTGAGAGGTATCCGGAAGCCAGCAGCTGGTACGTGCTTCTGACTATGGTTGTAAGAATGGGCTATAAAAACTGAAGCAAAGGTTGGATGCATTGAAGTCTGTCCCTCTCTTATGGAAAATCCTAAGACTTATTCTTCTCAGCCTGTCTGCCAGTGGCAGAGCTCTTCAGCATCACACACCTGTCTCCTCACCCTCAGTGAGGAAGCAGGGACCTCTTAAAAGTTATTTGCCTAATCTGAAATGTAGCATTCAGGGCCTTGGCGGTGTGAGAGCATGCTTATGCAAGGTGGAATTTTAGAGAGGTACTTTCCAAGTCTTTGTGAACAAATTTTTTTATAAAAACTGTCGTGATTGAAGCTTAGTTTTTATCAATCATCTTGTATGTGTTCCACTATGTGGCACTTTTTTATCCATGTGATAATTCATAAGGCACATTCAAGTCAGTGACATGATGCATCCAAATCCCTCCCCTCTATAAAAGGTCTAGCCAGGTGAGCTGGAGAGTGATCCTTTTGGAAACTCATTAGTCCCATCCTTTAACTGTATCGCAGAGATACAGGAGTAGAGAAGCATTGTCTCTTAAATGCCACTCTCCACCAAAATGTTGTACTTAAAAGAAGTACTCGGGATCTTTTTCAGGGGGATAAGGCAACACGCCACATTTATTGATCACACATAGAATAATTAACAGTTATCATATGCATATGATATATATATATATATAAGTCACTCATGCACTCACACACACACACACAAGCACACTCCGTCTTGCTGTTGTTACCAACAAGTTGCTCCCCTTAACTGCACTGGCCAGGTGAGTTAGATGGGGGAGGGGTGGAGCCGGGCTTCTGCCGATCCGGATCGATGCTCCGATGGTGACAAGATGAAACCCGGAGTCCTCTGCAAGACACCTCACTTTTATAGCATCCCTCTCATATGCAAATATATATCCCAGATTCAAACTCTGGGTCTGTGTCTGTTGGTCCCTTTGTGCTGCAGAGAGGGTGTTTTCCGGAGAAGGTGCCTGCTTCTAATCCCCAAGGCAGTCAGTATGTCTGCTCTCCTTTCTTCAGCCCACTTGACACCTTGGGTCTGGCTTCCACCCCCTCTTCAACTCGTGTAGCTGTCTGGAGGTGCTTGGCTCCCAAGTCTTACTCATTCACACCTCATTCATTCAACAGGGCAATTAATTACAGAGTGGGGGAAAGAGAGTGGGGGAAAATCTTATTCTGGGATTATATTCTTAACAGTTATAAGTTACATGACCTAATACATTATATTCTAAAGGGGCAATAATAATAATAAATCTAAACATTTAACAATCTTAACAAATAATAATAATAATAATAAGAAGAAGAAGAAGAAGAATTAATAATAAATCTAACACTTTAAGTTGTGGGGAACAAATTATGGGGAGTCACTTCCATTTGGGGGAATCACATTTTTAATACATTGGTATGTTATCCCTACATACTGGCCCCATGAGCACAGTAGGTGCAAGGTGGAGTCAGTAGGCCCCTGTATATTAGTCCAAAAGTGGTCTGACTGCAGGAACCCTAGATAGGATGGATCTGAAACAGACAAGAGGATTGTGTGTGTTTGCCGTGATTCAGATATTCAGGGAACTGGTTTCTGAAGCCACAGGGGTGTGGTGCTTTGAAAAGCAGTTAACTTGATTTCAAACACTGTAACTTATCTAAGAAGGGCACTCTTATATCAGAACACTAGCCATCTCCTTTCTCAGGTAAATATGCTATTTAGTTATGTAGTAGAATATGACTTATTTGTTTAAAGATGTTTGAGATCCTTCCTTTGTACTGGAGTGCCACAGCCGGTTCTTTGTAACTTGCTCATTTGCACCAGCACATTCCTTTATGAAATGTTGTGTCTGTGTAGTTTTGATTTATTTGGTTTTCTGGAAACTACAGGGCAAATGAAGCGCAACAGAGGTGAGGATATAGATTTTGAGACACCTGGTTCCATTCTTGTCAACACAAATCTCCGAGCACTGATAAACTCCAGAACCTTCAATGTACTCCCCCCACACTTCCAGCAGCAGCTCCTTTTCCTCCTGCCAGAAGTTGACAGACAGGTACAGGCAAATAACAATCACTGCGCATCTTATTGCGTGTTATGTTGTATCGTTCCTGTTCCCAAAGAGCTGTTGCTTGTGGTTTTCCAACTATTATACTTTTGTTCTCCATAGGCTGGGGCAGATGGGCTGATGCGTCTCAGTGGCAGTGCTCTGAATAATGAGTTCTTCACCCATGCAGCTCAGAGCTGGAGAGAACGACTGGCTGATGGTAGGTAGATTTCTTGTGCTGAATAATGGGATGAAGCCTGCTGTGCACCTTATTTGGTAGAAGAAAAATAAACTGTCGAGTTTTTGATTCTGTACCAGCTTTGGAGTCTGTTTGGATAAAAGTGCCCTTTTTTTTAAAGATTTACCTTACGCATTTCCTAGGTGCCCAAAGGCCTTCAAATCTAAGTGCCAGCTAGATTTGTGTTTTCTCAAACACTGCCTCTGAGTGGAATATGACTCTCAGACCTGATCTTGTGTGTATGATCATGTTGCCTTTTATTGGCGGCAGTGTAAAGAGAAAAGCTGCGGCGAGAAAAGCTGCTCCATGTCTCCCTGGTCTGCTGGGGGGAAGCGCCCCCGCGCCGCCGGAGGCGGCGACAGTGGGGGAGGCACCCCGCACTAGCTGCGCACCCCTCCCCCCGTTTGTAATTAGGGGTCCGACTTATGTCGGATTGTATTAAGTTGGGTTTCAGTTATTGTGCATTAGAAAAAAAAACAAAAAAACAACCCAACTTTAGCTGGCTCATGGTAGGGAAAAGAGGCCAAACATTTTTTTCTGTTCTATCTAGTCATAAAGAGCGGGAGGTGATCAGGACTAGGAATGCAAAGGGTTCACTGGTTACCCAATAAGCATCACCCTTACTGGCATGCTTACTGAGTTAACTGGTGACTTAGGCCAGCCAGAGCAGAGTGTGGTGCGCCCGGCCTGGCTGGAGTAGCACCCCACCTATGGGATCTCGGTTATTCAGTTAAACATTGCATTTAACTGGTTGATTTTTTTAAACGTTATTTTACATCCCTAATCAGAACATCCCTGGGCCTGTTTGTGACTCCGTTTGAGAGCTATGCACCTCTACTATATTCATTTCTATGGTATATGAGCACTTAATCTTTTCTCCCCCCCCCCCCCCCCATCTTCCCATCACAAATGGTTACAGTAAAATGTCCTGTAGGAAGGGAGAATGCATATCATATCCTAATCCAACTCCCCGTGTACTCTGCAGCAAATTGGACACCAATTGTGTAGTATGCTCCCCAGTTTCTGTGATAAGTATTAGAGGGATAGCCATGTTAATCTGTAACTTTAAAAAGTCGAATAGTTCTGTGGCACCCTACAGACTAACAAATAACATGTAGTATCATGAGCTTTCGTCGACAAAACCCACTTCATCAAGTGAACTTTCAAGCTCATCTGAAGAAGTGGGTTTTGCCCACAGACCTCATGATACTATATGTAATTTGTTAGTCTGTAAGGTGCCACAGAACTATTCAGCGTTTTTACAGTTACAGATCATTTATTTGTGATGAGCATGTGAGTTGTGTGGCAGTTTCTGGTAAACTTCAAAATGGAAACTTATGTATAAACATGACTAATACATGCAATACAGTATCCCTCCTGCTGGTTTTTGTATTTAATCTAATTAACATTGCTTGTACGTTTTCAGTGTCAGAATTCATTTCTAACACGATGAGTGTGAGAATTTCACATTTCTCAAAGCTATTGTTTCAGGCTCTCTGAAATCTCAAGGAGAAAGACATCCCTGCATTGGTTACATTAATTTTACATTTTGAAGGCTTTCTGTACAACTCTGAGGGCTAAACACTTTTTTTAAAGGAATGCAAGATTAAAATTTCGTGCACAAGAGCAAGGGAAGGTTCTGTGGCCATGTCTACACACTGCCCCTCGGGGACTACAAGCTCGTGAATAACAACAAGCACCACAGCTCTGCACTAGTACTCCCCCATATGGACTGAAAGGTTCATGCCCTGGTTGTCCAGCAAGGGGAGTTAGTGTAACTATTCGCACACTTGTTGAATGAACAGGGTAGTAGTGTACATGGCCCAGGACAACTTCTATGGCCCCTGAATCATCACATTTTCATTTTCTTTTTGATGTGACTTCATACGGTCAGATTAGGGTAATTTCTTGCAATATAAACTCTAGGGTTGAAATCCAGGCTTCACTGGAGTCAGTGGGAATTTCACCGTAGGGGTAAGGGCACTTTTCTGCAAAAGTGTTTGGTCACAGCCGAGTATCAGTCTGGAAAGAACAGAGGAGCCTAATTTTTTCCTCCTAAGAGAAATTGATGCTTTGACCACTAGCAATATTTCGATATGCTGGAATCTTGCATCAGGATATCTAGAATTTCAAAGGGTAGAAAGTGTCCATGTACTGGACAGGGATGTTTGAGCTTAACCAATGTGCTGATTGGTTAATATGATCAATTAAACTCTGCCCAGCTCCCACGGAGGTGGCTTTGCTGCCGCAGCAAAACTTCCTGCCCAGAAGCGGAGCTGGCAACTGCTGCTCACCCAGCTACCAGGGAGGTGATTTTCCTGCAGCAGCGAAGCCTCCCTGGGAACAGGACCGGCAGGGGAGGCTTCGCTGTGGGTTCTGCAGCATGAAGCTTTAAGCTTTAAAGCACGGAGCCTGCAGTGTGCATAACCGCTAGGATTTTTAGCGGTTACACAGTTACCTTATTAAATGGCTTTTAACATTGCTAGGAGTGGATGGGTGTTTTCTGGCAAGCCCAGGGTGTTTATTATGCATGCTCTGAGGGCTATGGAACTAGCGAGCTGGTTTTGGAGAGTAGTAATACTTGTTTGTTTCTCGTCAGGTGAATTCACTCATGAGATGCAGGTTAGAATACGACAGGAAATGGAGAAAGAGAAGAGGGTTGAGCAATGGAAAGAGAAGTTCTTTGAAGACTACTATGGACAAAAGTAAGAAATTGAGTGAATCATTCAGATGATCACTGCAAGGGAATATCTAAAATTGATTTGTTTTTGTTTCCAAGGCTAGCAATATTACAGATTAGTTTTAAAGTGCAAATTCTGACCTCATGTAAGCAAGCGTTCTCCTTATTCCCTGAGACAAGTACCAGGAGTAGTGAATACATCAAATATTTCTTTATAGACTGAGAGATTTTGTAATCAGTAATGCACCATGTACTGCTCTGGTAGTACACATTGATAATAATAACTTGTATCCTTCCCAGGGGATGAAATCAGACCTAGCCTAGGTTGCTCCAGCATTTATGAGTCTGTGGTTGCTTTACAGGTTGGGTTTGACTAAAGAAGAATCACAACAGCAAAATTCAATGCAAGAAGATGCTGAGAACAGGACCGAGTTTTCTGTTCAGGTAGAAGCAGCAAAGCCACAGCATGGTCCTTCTACACGTCAGCGAGATGGACATGTCAAGAAACGCTCTCGGCCAGATCTGCGATGCAGAGCCAGAAGGAGCTTGTATAAAATACGAGAGCCTGATCAGACTGAGACCCCCAAAGAGACTGTGTCTGTGGGACCAGACTCCTCCTTCCATAAAGAGACTAAAGCGGAGGTGGATTTGGGAGGAGAAGATCTGGCAGGCTCTTCGTCTGCATCATTGAAGCCGGAGAGTCCAGAACTGCTGTTTTCTTCAGAGTCTTCCAGACTGCACAGTAAAGTGGAAGATCTGTCTTTGGCAGCCGCATCTATAAGCAGAATTCCCAGTTTGCCCCAAGAAAACTTAGATCAGGAGTCAAAGGACCAGAAAAGGAAATGCTTTGAGGAGGCTGCCTCCACCTCCTTCCCCGAAAAGAAGCCCCGGCTTGAAGATCGTCAGTCCTTTCGTAACACAATTGAAAGTGTTCACCCAGAAAAGCCACAGCCTACTAAAGAGGAGCCAAAAGTCCCACCCATCCGGGTAGGAGAGACAATTATACCTGCTTATTATGTTAGGGATTTTGTGCCCAGTAGTGTCCAAGTAATATGAGAGTGTCATGTCACTTGTTCAAAGGGGGGAAGGGAAGAGTCTCTCATTGATAGCTCTTGCTAAGATCTAATTACTGCAATCAGGCCCGCCAACAGGGCCCGGAGCTCCTGTTGAATTATTCCAGGGTCCCTTTGAATTGTTATGTTCGTGCCAGAGCTTTGCTCTGCTTTGCTCTGAAGGTTGGGGCAGAGGGTGGGGGGTGTTGCGATCTGATTGGCACTAAGGCTGTGTCTAGTCTACATCCCTCTTTCAACAGAGGGATGTAAATTAGACACTTCGAAATTGCAAATGAAGCGGGGCTTTAAATATCCCGTGCTTCATTTGCATAATTACGTAATGGAGCGCTTTTGAAAAAGCGCCATTTTGAAAGTAAAACCGCGGTCTAGATGCGGTTCTATCATAGAATAATAGGACTGGAAGGGACCTCGAGAGGTCATCGAGTCCAGCCCCCCGCCCTCAAGGCAGGACCAAGCTCCGTCGACACCATCCCTGACAGATGTCTATCTAACCTGTTCTTAAATATCTCCAGAGAGGGAGATTCCACCACCTCCCTTGGCAATTTATTCCAATATTTGACCACCCTGACAGTTAGGAATTTTTTCCTAATGTCCAATCTAAACCTCCCCTGCTGCACTTTAAGCCCATTACTCCTTGTCCTGTCCTCAGGAACCAAGAGGAACAAATTTTCTCCTTCCTCCTTGTGACACCCTTTTAGATATTTGAAAACCGCTATCATGTCCCCCCTTAATCTTCTTTTTTCCAAACTAAACAAGCCCAGTTCATGAAGCCTGGCTTCATAGGTCATGTTCTCTAGGCCTTTAATCATTCTTGTCGCTCTTCTCTGTACCCTTTCCAATTTCTCCACATCTTTCTTGAAATGTGGCGCCCAGAACTGGACACAGTACTCCAGCTGAGGCCTAACTAGTGCAGAGTAGAGCGGCAGAATGACTTCACGAGTTTTGCTTACAACACACCTGTTGATACAACCTAGAATCATATTTGCTTTTTTTGCAACAGCATCACACTGTTGACTCGTATTCAACTTGTGGTCCACTATGACCCCTAGATCCCTTTCTGCCATGCTCCTTCCTAGACAGTCGCTTCCCATCTTGTATGGATGGAACTGATTGTTCCTTCCTAAGTGGAGCACTTTGCATTTCTCTTTATTATGGAGAATGTCAGGCGTTTTCAAACAGGATCTTTTGAAAAAGCCTGCTGTTTTCGACAGAACTGTGTCTAGACTGCGGGTTTACATTCGAAATTTTTTGAATGAGCTCCATTATGCGATTACGCAAATGAAGAGCAGGATATTTAAATTTCTGCTTCATTTGCAATTTTGAAGTGTCTAATTTACATCCCTCTGTCGAAAGAGGGATGTAGTCTAGATGCAGCCTAAGGGCTGACTCGGCTCTGCCCCTGCTACCCGGCTTTGCCCCTTCTGGAAGCACGGAGCTGCCTCTCCTCCCCCTAACCTTGCCTGGGGGACTGTTGGCCCTGCTGACTGCAATATGTTTAGATAGCCAGAGAGTAGACTGGAGAATTATTCCAAAGTCTCCTGTACAAGAATGCAGAGGAGCCTTTTTTTATTATACAGCTCCTTTGTAGTTTAGTGGCTGCAGATACGGCTTTTCCTGAAATGGGCTGATTTAATGTAGTGCAGACTTTCATTGTAACCTTGTAGACTCCTCCTCTTCCTCCATGTGAGAGAGAATCCTCTTGTCTCATCTCAGATTCTCCTGTTGGTGGGATTGCAGCTGGGCCCTTTTTGGCAGCAGCAGGCCATCCTACTAATATCAGTGAGAACAGATCATGCTTGACAAAAATCAAACCGGTGTCTTCTCCGGAGTCCAGCTTTACCTCGCGTTGAAGCTGTCAGTTTAGCACTTACGTCTGGTGGGTAATGCGCAGATGACCTCACTGTAAAATGGATTTTAAAAGATGCCATGATGTGGCATCTGCGTAGAAACCTCTTGAGGATCCCATAAAGAGGCTAAGGGCAGCAGCGCTACCACTGTGCCAAAAATCACTTCCTCAGAACGTTAACGAAATGGATTGAATTGCCACGAACTGATTTTAAAAATGTTGCTCTTGGAGAATATCAAGTATTAGATTAACATAATCTCTTCTGATTCTTTTTCAGATTCAACTTTCACGTATCAAGCCACCCTGGGTGGTTAAGGGTCAGCCCGCTTACCAGATATGCCCCCGGATCATCCCCAACACAGAGCCCTCTGGTCGGGGCAGGACTGGTGCCAGAACACTCGCAGACATTAAAGCTCGTGCTCTGCAAGCCAGAGCCCAGCGAGAGGCCGTTACAGCTGCCATTGGAGGTGGGGGTGGGCCAGGAGGAGGAGGGAACAGCACCGATAAAGGAGGTGGTGGTGGTGGTGGAGAATCCAGTAGCCATAGAGAGTCCAGGAGATCAAAGAGAACTCATGGAAGGTGTGCGTCAGATCTACAACGAACACAATTACTGCCGCCTGTCCATCTAAACAGAGAAAAGAGTAACTTTGCTGAGGTAGCTGTGCAGGTAGCTAAAATAAATTTAGCTGAACCTGGAAAACAGGACTCCTGCCCACCTAATGGTGAGGGAGCCTTCGTTCTTGAACGTGCTGCAGATGTTATCTCAGGTGGAACAGAAGATGTTGCTCAAAGTACTAATGGCTTAGCTAATCGCCAGCTTGATGATGCTTTGATTGGGCTGTCTTTTGATGCTGCAGCTTCTCTGGGGCAGGAGGAGAGCTTTGAGCCGCTCCTCCATGATGTAAGAAGTGAAAACACACCTCATACTGCCTCTCAGGAGGGTCAGAGTACTAAGCAAGGACACTCAGTTCCGTCTGAGAATGGTGTGTGTTGTTCTCAGGTACAGGGGTCTGCAGTCATAGATGATATCAGTACTGTACCAAGAACTGAAGATGTTGGCACTCCCCCAGAGTTGAACAGTAGTTCTCCTATGAAGGAAACTTTCTCTCATAATTCTAGCCTTACCCTAGAATTGTCATCAGACGGTAAAGAACAGCATGAGCCAGAAATTGAAATGCGATTTAATGGCTCTAAGAAACCCACAGGAAAACATGTAACTGATTGTGATGATTCAAAAACAAATCGTATTGGAATGGAGAACGTGGGCTCAGAGTTGTATGCTCTCACACACCGACAGACAGGAAAACACGAAAGTGAACTGCTAAATGGAGAACGGAATCAAGAGTCCTTGGTGAAACCTTTTTCACTTGGTGATTGGACTGTTCAGAATGGAATAGGTACCTCTGAAAAGCTTCCACACCTGTGGAAGAGGCCATCAGGGGAAAACACAGATAATTTGTGTCAACACATGAAAGAGACACAAGGGTTTAAGACAAATGGAGATGATGAAATCCAGAGTACACACAGCGAAACTACAGATACTGCTTCTGATTTTGAAGCTGACCTAACTGATGAGAATGTGGAGGTGGATATCTACTTCAGGAATGTCCACTTCAAGGAGGCTACAGGAAAAGGAGATGCCTCCCACAAGTGCAACACAGAAAGAAATGACGGCATTAGATCTGACTCCTCTGTGAAAAATAACAGTCTCCCATACGTAGCAGAGTTGCCGTCAGTAGCAATGGTGAGCAAGATGTCTCCACCCCAGGCATGGGCACTACATACACCTCTTTCTCAACAAACTCCGAGTCAGAAAACACCGGGCTCCAGTAGGCCCATATCATCTATTGAAGCCAATAACCCTCTGGTGATGCAGTTACTTAAGGGAAACCTTTCTTTGGAAAAGGTTCTACCAGTATCACATGCCAGCATCAAGCTGGAAATTATGGAATCACTTCTAGACAAGCCATCCGAAAACCACTCCCTACAAGTGGAGAGAAGCAGCAATTGCTGCTTTGGCCAAGAGTCTTCCCGAGATGCAGGAATAAATACAAGTGGCCGAAGCAGAAGTGGTGACTTCCACTCTCCAGATGCTTTCAGAGATCATCAGAAAACACAATGCAACTCTGGGACAGTACTGCCCAAAACAGAAAGTGTGGAGAACCAGCCTGATGTTCCAGAAAAGCATTCCAATGTTGGCAGTAGCTTGAGCTCTCCAGACCCACTGGACAGTATGGTGAGCGGCTCTCAGAAACCTAAAGAGTTGAGCCATAGAGAAAGATCTTCCTGTAGCTTTGGAGATCAAAAAGAGTTGCCCCTGGTCCATGATGTCCCACAGCACAATCCACTAACACATACTATTACAAATGAAAGCCCTGAAAAGCTAAACCCACCAGTAGCACCTCAGTTTTTAGCTCCAAATGTAACCTCTCTCGGAACAAAGCGCATCAGTGGAACCTCAATTAATAAAAGTTACGTTGGCGTCCAGGGCAAAAAGCTCTTTGGTTCGGGCTTCCCCTGCAACGCTGCTGCTAGATTGCCTCATCCAAGAGCTTTGGAGCACCTCGCAACCGTGGGAACTGCCTCCCCCAGCAAGCAGATCCCGTTAAATAAGAGCACTGCATCTGGAGAAGGAGCACCGACTGCCAGGGAAGACTGGCCTTCAAAACAACACGCAAACACACTAGGAGGAATAAAAAATGAGAATATACTGGCCTGTGGAGGCCCAGCCAAGGGCAGTGTGAAGAACCGGAAGGATGTTGGGCACAGCCCTGTGGAACTGATGGAGCATTTGCAGAGTGTTCCCCTTGTTATGGACTTGCCGTTTTTCAAGTTACCAAGAGAACCAGGAAAAGGACTCAACCAGCCCTTGGAGCCTTCTTCCATCCCCTCTCAGCTCAATATCAAACAAGCGTTTTATGGGAAGCTTTCGAAGCTGCAGCTCAATTCCACCAGCTTTAATTATTCATCCCACACAGCTCCAGCTTTCCCCAGAAGCCTTGCTGGAAGTATGATGCAGCTAAGCCACAAAGCGAACTTTGCTGCAAACCATAATGCATCTCTTTCTGTGCAGATGTTTGCTGATAGCAGCAGTGTTGAAGAAATATCATTCAAATGTTCCTGCAGCCTTAAAGCCATGATTATGTGTAAAGGATGTGGGGCATTTTGTCACGATGACTGTATAGGACCCTCAAAGCTTTGTGTATTGTGCCTTGTGGTGAGATAATAAATTATGGCCATGGGAAAAATTGTATATTTAGTGTGTGTATTTTGATAACTGACCCGAAAACCTGTATACAAAATATTATTCTGTTTATAATAGAGACAATATTATACTTTAAGTTGTGGCGAGAGAGTTGATTTACCTTCCCACTGAAACTCACAGTGCAAGGCCTGTTCTTAATCACAGTTACACTCCCGCATCTGTGGGTCGTGCCCTACTGGAGCAGTCGTCTTAAGGCCATCATGGAAATGTTGATTTGCGCTCTGGGCACACAGGCTGTGGCTACCACCTGACTGAGGTGGTTTGTCCTGGGAATCCATGGACCTTTTCTAAAGGAAACCTTTACATCCAAAGGAACTGGAATAGAGTGCTCTCTGTTTGGAAGGGTTGAGCTAGGTTAGTCCCAGCTATGCCTTAGCAGAGCAGAATACAGTCTTCCACTCCATTCCCTGGCTGCGTGGGAAGAGTACTGTACAATACACGTGGACACGAAGCTTCTCCATAAGTGGTGGCTGTGCAGTACCTGGAATGCTATAGTAGAATCAAGTGACCATAAAACCCTTGGCAGATGGCTGACGAGCCATATACGGGTGATCGCATCTTGGATGGAGCTGGTGAAGCGAATGCAAGAAGCAAATGGGAGTGGCTGTCTGCTTCCGTGCCTTGTGTTGGGCTGAAGGCAGATGTATGGCTTGTGGAACTCTGCACCTGGCTGCACTGCTGGTCCAGGCGGCCTCTTCTGGCCAAATGTTGCTACAAACGTGTATGAAAAGCCAGGAGTTGAGGAGTTCGTGAGTGCAGCTGAGTACCTCCCCATATTACAGTCCTACACTGAGAACCTTCCCATGCCAGCACCTCATCACCTGCAAGTGTCTGGCTGTGCATCCGTGAGTGCTGGTCATTTTACATTCTCAGCGGTGTTTCCTTTTTTATATTTTACCTTTTTTCATTCTTGACTGTATCAAGTGAATAATTTGATTCCTGTAAGTATCCTCTATGCCTCTGTTTGATCATGTATTTATATGTTGTACACAGTACTGGCCAATTCTGTAAATGGATGTAATGTACATAGAACATAAAGGGTTTTTTTTCTTTATTTTCAGGCTCTACAGCAGTATTACATTAAAGTGGTGTTTGTTATTAATCGACATCTGTAGTCAAAGCCACTGTATTCTGTGCTGCCTAATGCGAGGCTGAACATGGGTTCAGACTGCCTCCCTTTCTGCCTAGGTGGCTTTGCTGTGGGCAGACAGACTGCAATGAGCAATCTCAAGGTTAACCTGCCCTGATTTGCTGAGCTGGGAGCATTTTGCTCCTTGCTATCTGGAAGCAAATTCCTGTAGCAGTGACTGGTCACTCGTAACTGGTGAGTCTCCATGAACAATGTTGTAGCTACAGTGCAACAGTGTGAAGAAGACCCTTGTCTATTCAGAGTTGATGTGAACCAAAATGAGCCTCCCTCCTTTTGAGCAATTGCCTCTTGGGGTTGGGCTGCTCCAAGGGGGGGAGAAGCCCCCCTGTCATTTCGTTGAAAGCTTTCTCCTACCCCTTTCCTATCTCTGACCTACCTCTGTCTTGACTATGCTTTTTCTAATTGTAGACCTCCCTGTCTGAGAGCTGTAGAGAGTGCACAATCTGTGGGCTTCAGCAAGCTTCTTTGTCTCCCAAATGGTTTACCCATAACCCATGTGGCAGCTTGATAGTGTGAAATGGGGGAGAGACAGACGGACACAGGGGTGAATTGAAATGCAGTATTAGTGAAATCTTGAGGGGATGGGATAAAAAACCTGCTAACCAAAGATTGGGAGCAGAGCTGGGGCAGTCTGGCTCTGTATCCTTTGGGGCCGCTGTAGGGCACAGATTAAAGCTGGTCTGGTCTGCAGAGATCTCCAGAGGGACTCTGCTCTTGTACGTCCCTGTGGTATTGGAAAAATAAACATTCTGTAAAACCTGCACGTGTGGTTTCAATCCTCTTCTGAAATGGGCTTGTTGTTTTGGGATCTGGAACTTACAAGATTGACATCTTGGCATAGCCAAGCTCAGGGGGAAAACACTTGTTTTTTCAGGCAGGTTCTCCCGCCCACCCTTATTTTTTTCCTTTGCCCTGGCAGTGTTGTCACAAGCTTTAAAACTGAGCTGATCGAAAGGGGACTGTCCTTGTCTGAAGTTAAAATTATCGCGGCACAAAACAAGTAATTTAGGTTGTTAAACTCCCTGCCAAAGCAAAGTTCACTGCTGTACAATCCCTTCCGCAATGGTGTTACTCTCTGGTGTTGTATAATGCACAACACACAGTAGCAGCTCCTTAAGGAATTCCTTAAGTGTTTCTAAGGAGGTATTTGGTCTCTGCTGTTATATGGCATTGTCTTCTAATGTCTTGTTAAATTGCTGGTCATCTGAAGAAGTGGGCTGTGCCCACGAAAGCTCATGATACCATCTACATGTTTTGTTAGTCTATAAAGTGCTACCAGACCATTTGTTGTTTAAGTTTTTCCTGTTACAGACTAACTCAGCTACCCTCTGAAGATGTTGGATTGGGATTTTCAGTGCTGATTTCAAAGCGGTGCACTAGTTTGGTACCAATTGCAACAGTTTTGAAACTAGCTGTAATCTCAGTTTATCAATACATTGATTTCTCTTCTAGGCAGTGAGAGGGGTAGGGGGAAGGTTAGTAAGAGCTTTTATGCTGCGGTCAGCTACTGCATCTGTCAGCTCTGTTCAGTAGATCTAGCTTTCACTGTAGTGAAATTTCAGCAAGGCAAATGATGCTCTGATACCTTGTTTAATGATACATTTGGACTATATCCTACAGTATGGAAGCTAACTATATGATTTATGTTCTGCTGTGTTGCCCTTACAGTAGCACCCACTGCTATTGTCTTCTAGTGGCTCTTACACCCAATTCAGACCTAGGGTAACTGTTAGTTTAGAAATGGTGGATTCATTCTTGCTGTAACTTCTTTAGTTTGCTTGTTACCAAAACTAAATCTGCTAGGGTAGGAGGGAAGAGTGATATAACTAAGATCTGCTGCTACTGTCTAATATTCATTATGTTCGAAGTGTGGAATAAGGCTCATGTTTTAAAATTACAGATGTCTCACTGTGACCTTGGAGATTGCATATGTAAACACCAGTTCTAACAACAAAGCAGTCTCTCCAGTAATACGAACAGAACGCAGGAACGTGCGGGCCTTAATCATCCTCTAAGCTCTGATGCTTTGGCGATGTATTTGTCATAAGCAACCAATTGACATTTAGGAACAAGTTTTGTTTTTGTTTTTTTGCCATCAGCTGAAGTTCTCTGGCTGTAGCTGCGTAGACCTGGAAGCGTAAGTGTGGATAGATGGGGCAGTCCATGAAAAGAAAACTTGATTTATTTGTGAAAAATACATAAAGTCACTGTTTAGAAATGTTAAATAGAATTTTAAATGGCTGAAGATTCAGAGTCCAATAGCATGTCTTTCTGATGATGGTGTACTATAGTAGCAGAGTTAGCTGTTTCTAGAATAGCAGGGGCCTGGTAGATCTCTCCGCTGATTTTTAAGGTAAGCCCTCGTATTTTTTGCTTGAATCTCACATTGGTCTAATATGAAGAATGCTTAAGTATTTTCTCCATGTTTTTCTAGTAAGTAATAGAATTTACTTAAAAAAAAAAGAAAAAACTGAGCTCCTGCTTGCCATTTGCATTCAGCTGAGCCAGGCTCAGAGTGTAACTTGTCCTAATGGAATGACTGAACAGCTGGGAAGTAACAGAAAAATCCATCACTTCCTTGAGTCAACAGAACCATTTGCAGTTGTGGAGATACTGAGCCAGTGACAGGTATTTCTAAATGGTCTCAAACCTCATTGTAGGCACACACAGTAGTACTGACTAATCCCCGCATCCCAGATTTAGAATGATTCATCACTCCTCAATGTAGTTTTAAGCGGAGAATGTTGTAGAAGCCCAGTATTATGAAGACTTCATTATGCTTTCAAAACACAATAGCATACATGTACGCTATTAAGATTTTCTATAATCTTATATATTAAATATGAATAGTTCAAGCTAATATCAAACTTAAGTACATTTTAGGATGCCCTTTCCTTACTATTTCTTATAGACTTACTAATGTACAATATTCAGCCATTCACTATGGACCTCCTGGTCACTCCCTTGCAAATATCCAAGGGCCAATTTCTGTCTCTTGTTGGGGAAGCCCGGCCCATTTTGGAATCAAGGGTGTATGGCAATGGAAATTGTTTTAGCATCCAGTCTGGCTCTTTAAATCTTGTCAGACCTGTCTTAGGCCTTCTGTCTCTGTCACCAAACAGTTGGCATGATTTAGTGAGGTTTAATCTTGTTGTGCTTTGAGATCCTTTAGTACAGAGGAACCATGTAAGTGTAAGTATTTATTATATGTAACGAATGGTTTTGGTCAGGAAACTATTTTATGGGCAAAATCGATTTTTTTAAAATTTTAATTGGTAAAAGCAAACACTTCTAGCACAAATTTCATTTTGTCAAAAAACGTGGATAGCCCTGGTACTTAATGTAGCTGTGTACAATATCAGAATAGCAGCAGCTGACTGTTGAGAAAGAGAGCCCCGCTTGTTTTAAGGTTCTTGAGTGACGAAGGTATTTGTTTATTTAAAAAAAAAAAAAAACCACCCAAATTTGAAAGCAGTCCTTGGTGGCAGTAGCAATCCAACTGACCTTCCATGTGTTAGGTCACAGCTGACATGGGGTTGCAGATCCGAGATTTCTAATGGGAACTTGGGAGACAGATGGTGGCATATGTCTCAGTGGGTGGAAGAAGCTGTAGAAGTGACCCCATCTGAGTGTGATACGGGAGGTCTGAGACCTGTTTGTTATACAGTGTTTATTAAGTAGATTCAGTCTTATATATGATATACAGAGTCAAAAGAAAAAGAGGATTCCACATACTTATGAAATCAGTGCATTTAGCAAGTAATACCATGGAAATAACAGCTTGATTAACAGCTCATTGGTCTTTGTTAAGTGAGGGGGGAGAGGGAGTTGGCCTGTGCTAATCATTCCACAAACAGAACAGAATTAAGTTGCATCACATATAACAGACACACAGTCTAAGAATTAAAATAGTAAGCCACACTTACTGGAAAAATCCACAGTATAGAACACAAATAATTTTTATAGAGCGTATTGAGGAGGAAGTGCTCGTCTGCTTAAAAGAGCCACGTTAAGTTGCATAGGTGCCTAGCTGCAAAAATATTTAGAAATGAATCAGTCGATTAAGCAGTAAAGTGTCACCTTAGAAGCTGGATTCTCTTTCCATGGTGATTTAAGTGCCATATGCTCAGTATCTGAGCCCCCATCCCCCCGCCCCCGAATGTACGAACTTTCTGAAGGAGCTGCCTCCTCCATTTTGGAGCTCCTGTGTCTAGAGACAGAATCCTCTCCTGTCGTTTTCATCTGAAATGATCATCTTAGATGATTGAACTGAGAATCAGTAAAAATGTGTTCAATTGTGCTGAAGGAAAGAGGGCTTTTCCCCTTTTCCCTGGCCTCCACTCCACTAGAACCCTCAGGTCAGCTAGGTAGCTTTCACCTTCATGCCTGGGGTGTCAGGGAGGAAAAGTGGTGAAATAGCACCATCATATGGTTCTATTTCTGGTTGGGGTCCTGGCTGTTTACCTTCACCTCACCCTCTCAGATCAGCTGTCAATGTTTAAGCTACAACTACTGTTTAATTGATCACTTAAAGTGTGATAGGGCTGTGCAAAAGCCAAAATCTCTTTGCAGTACATCCCAGTTTTGTGGGGTTTAAGGTGGTTTGTGTGTCAGCGTTGTCTGTGGCTTTGCTAAGCAGATGAACTGGGTGAGGTGCAGCTTCCTCTTCAGCAGCAGGTCTTGCAGAACACACAGGGGCTGGGAATTCTGTACATGTAAACAGTACACTTTCACTGAGTCCAAAATTAGGAGCAAAAATACAAAGGTTCACATTGGTCTTAGGTAGATACAGGCGAAGAACTGAGCTTTACAGCTCCGAAACAACCAAACAAAAGTTTCTAAAGCACCACTAAATTATATAAAAATCAGACCATGGACGGATTGTAGTTGGTATTCTGGTGAAATACTATGCTACCTTGTAAAAAGTTTTACAAAAAATTACAAATCAAAAGTATATTAACCCTCTGAGTTCAAAGCAGCATTTTGTAAATGACTGATACTAAATCCTATGACCACCTGTGGGAGGAAGATGGCCCTGTGGAGGGGGGAGGTACAGGTCACGTCTGCTGGGAATCCTGTGAACACTTCCCCTTACTGAAACACTGTGCTTGGGAACTGACCATTCCCTGTGTACAAATGGTGGTGGTGGTGGTGGTGGTGGTTAGGAGGAGAGTTTATCTTCTCTGTCACTGCTTTTTCCAGACCACTTGCTAACTCAGCACTCCCCTTTTACTCCTCACAAAGGCTGGAGAGCCGGGGTATTTTGCTCCTGCTCATTCCTTCTCATTGAGAATCGTAAATTGAGATTTCAAACCTTTTAAAACTTATGAAGAGGGCTGCAAAACAGCCTTTGAGTAGAGAAGGACCACGACGGAGTAAGGATCAGTGAGAGCACAGAGATGTTCTGTGGAGATAGCTCCAAAGAGTAAAAGATGCGATTTACATAAAACTTTCCCTGCCACACGCATATGGTGGATCTCATTTGTTCCACACCTTGTCACAGGTACCACTGCCACCAGACCTTCGGAAATCTGAGTTTGTCTCATCCAGCTGCAAGTTATGAACATTAGTTGGGCAATTCATCCTATGCACTTGTAAGTCTCAACAGCTCTACCAGTGGTATAAATGTTAAGGGCTGCTAAACACAAAGTTGGATGGTTATCTAGTAAAGACAGCTACAGCTTGAGTAAATGCAATTTTAAACAAACTGCTGTTGATCTGTTTATAAGAGGCCCCTAGGCAGTGTCTTTGTCGGTTAGTTGGCTGGCAAATTTATGGCTAACGTGTTCTTGATGGCCTCTTAAAAGGAACAGAGGCAACAATTAAGTAATTTATATAGAGCATTCTGGGACAGCGATTGTCTCTGCCTCTCTTTTAACATTAAGACTTTCACAAAGACTGTGGTTAATGTTTTGTAAAAGGTTTGCTACTTCATGGTATTGTTCACCTAAAAATAAATATTTACATAAATTCAAAGTATGGGAGGATGCAGTGGACAAATCAAGCAGGCTCATGAAGTGCCAGGGGAAGTATGGGCCTGAAATTTGGGTTTCTGTGTGGTCATTCTGTTCCCAGATACCTTGGTGCTGATACAAGCCCACGCTCCCTGGAGGTTGGCCTGACTTTTGTCTATTGTCCATACATGCAAATAACCAAAATGGGAACATGTTCCCCCAGAACCCACCTCGTTGGCTCGTGCTGAGAGGAGGGGAATCAACTCTGATTTACATCAAACTGCCGCTTTCTCCCTGCAAGGACTCTGACTGTAGGAAATGACCAGGAATTAAATCCCTTTTCTCCAGCAGCTGGGGAAGAGTTCAGATTTTGGGGAAAGTGGCCAATGCACTAATCCCTTTGAGGGCCAGGCTCGGCAGTCCTGGTCTAGCGAGCCAGAAGCCTGGTGTGTTTCAGCTAAGAAAAAGGACAGGGCCTTGTTCTTTAGCCAGTTCCCCCTAGTATGACAGGGAAGTAATTTGGTTAAAACTGTTGACAAACCATCGGCGGCTCCGTCCTTGCTGGAGCCCAGCCTGTGCTCCCTGAAACAGTGTGAAACCCAGCTGCTAGCATGATTTCTGCTGCAGTAGGGGTGGGGGGCAGTGTGGACTGCAGAGCACAACCCTTCAAAACAGGAGTGAGCGCTCAATTAACTGGTGTAAAAGGAGCTAACTTCAGAGAAGGAACCACCTGCACTTAAACGATCAAAACTATTTTAATGGGCTTCAAGTGTCTCTGGTGCTGCTGGTTATGGTCCATGCCTTTAAGAAAGGGCAGGAGAAGAATTCTGCTCGCATGGACAAGGGTGAGAGAAATTCTCACAGACTCTTAGGCAGCAATTTTCTGCTGCTTTCTATGGCTACAGACTGTTGCATTGCTTGGCCCTGCTCAGTCCCCTGATGCCTGAGCCAAGTCCCTGGTTGTAGCAGCACTGGGAGTAGGTATTGCACCGAGCAAAGGGAAGTGCATGGTTTTATGCTGGGGCAGGTGGGAGTAGGGGAGAAACAGCAATGGAAATCAGACCGATTTTTTTCACACTTGAGAGCTTTTCCCAGGACTAGTACAGGAGGGTGAGGATGGAACAAGACGCCGGGGAAAATTTTCACCCTTTCTGCTGTTGAGTGTCTCTTAATGCCTTCCTTCTGAGTAGGAAGGAGCTGCTTGTTGACCTGCAGTCATCTCTTCTCCCAGAAGGGCTGCATGAGTATTCAATTGTGTTTATCTAACCAGCTGGCTGCTGCTTCCACATCGGCTTGGGGAGACAGCCTGGGTGTCCTCAGTGGGGAGGGGTCAGGCCTCATCCCTGATACCAGGGAGCTGCTGTCCCTCAGCAATGCGGCTCCTTCCTCCTCTTCGGAACGAAAAGGGAGCCAGCTTTGGCCAGCTGTCCATCAGTGTTATCTAGCGGCCTGCGCCCCGGTCTTGGATGCAAGGATGGTGTGAACCGTTCAGAATACCCATGATCCTGAAAAAAGCCCCCAACGCAGTGAGAGGTAGAAGAGGGGTGGGAGTGGTTCTCGGGTATTTCCCGTTTTGCACTGAGTTAAATGAGCATGAGAGGTCCTTCCAGTTGGCCTACGGAGCTCAGTTTGGCAGGAGATCTCGGACCCATTGCTGCTGCAGGACCGGTGGCATGAAGGTCTGACAAGACACTTGCCACATTGTTCAGCTTTTGCCTAAGCTTGCTGGCAGCAGAGCAGCCTAGAAGTGCGGGGCTAGATGGAAAACTTGTACCCTGCAGAGCAGGGTCTCTCCTGGGAGAGGCTGGGGGCGCGGCCCAGCCGTTAGTAGTGTAGTGATATGGAATGTGTTACTTCACAGGAAACAAATTCCTTCCGCTCAGACGGACACAAAACTGGCAATCTGTACAAACTCAAAAGAATCCATTTTCAGAAAAATAAATTACTAAGGGAAGAGGAAGGTCCATTTCTCAATAAATATGCAATTCTGCTCACCTAAGACCTTGAAAGGTAATTATCTGGGGATGGGATTCTAACGCTGGGGTCCACAAAGGTTATTCTAAATACAGCTGCAGCCCCAAACCTCCCCAGGCTCCTTTCCACCCCAAAAAAATCCCACACCCATCCAAGCTGGAGGTTTGGCTTCTGCTCAGCTAGGCGCACCTGTGTTGAGAGTCAAAAATGTGTCCTTGTGCCCCAAGTCCCAGGTGCTCCGCGTGGGAAAGAAAATAGTTCTTGGGTTCCAGCTTTTAAAAGCAAAATGTACCAGCTACGTGGTGGGAGGACGATGACTAGTCCTGAGCAGGATACCCGGAGGAGCCTGTTTCCAAAGGATGTAAATTGTCTTCTGAGACAGGAGCTACGCCGCCGCCAGGCGTCAGTTCTGCTGTAAAATGAGGTTTTCCAGTTCGTCTGCAGACCGAAGGAGGAAAGCTGCTGACTCTCGGTAGCCGGCAATCAGTTGTCGCACTGCGCTGATCTCTGTGGGGCTGAGCTGGGCAGCTGGCATCGCCCTGCTGGTGCTATTAGAAGGGGCTGTACTAGATGCCCCGCCTTTCATGCTGAGATCAGTAGGACCTGCAAATGCAGAGTGAGAGAGAGGTTCAGGAAAAGACACTGGCACAGCTGCTGCCCCAAAGTGGCCCGTCAATTTGAGGCAAAAACTCCCAACAGCACCTGCTGTTTGGATTCACGGCCCTTTATCCAGCTCGCTACATACCGAGGGCAAGAGGCAGTCATGAGCCCCACGGACCAGACCCCCACGCTGTGGGCACTTCCCAACTGCTGTCCTGCCACGTCGCTGTGCTCCCCTTCTCAGAGTGTGTTTGCGTACGTGCCGTTTGTAAACCTAACATTGACCGTGTCTGTACTTAACGGCAGATTGACGCTCCGGAGGTCAATCATCTAGCGTTTGATTTAGCGGGTCTAGTAAAGCCCTGCTAAATCCAACGCTGAGCACACACCGCCTACTCATGCAGAGTAAGGGAAGGCAGTCAACCTCCCGCTGTGGGGATGGTGCCACAGTTCAAATCAAGGTGCATCAACTCGAGCTACATCATTGACACAGCTGGAGTTGCACATCTTAATTTGAACTTATCCCCTGGTGTAGATCTGGCCTGTATGACCTGTCAACCTGTTGCTCTGCTAGGAGTTGGCTCAAACCTAGCTCAGACACATCTGCTTTAATGCTGCAATAGAACAGGAAAGGCAGGAGCGTATTTTGCATCTATAGTACAAAAATATATTCAGCCCAGCTGGGTGCATGGCTAGAATTGCAACGAAGCACTCGCGAGCGGGGCTAAATTGGCATAACCCTTAAATGATCAGTCCACTGGGCAAATAGTGGCTCTACCGTTGGTCCCCGGACTCCTCCGCGTACTGGCACAGAAGGGTTAGGAGAGACAATGTTCTCAGGTTCTGTTTTTTTCTCATTTGTCAGCATGCTGCATGAAGTGCTTTCATTGGTTGGATTGAGGGACAGTTGCATAATTTTCATGCTCCAGGCAAAGGCATTGGAACCGGGGGTTGGTCCAGCTCTCCTCTGTCTTGAAGTGGTTTCCAACAAATAAACAGGGCTTCATAGAAAATTAGATTTGGAAGAAACCTCAGGAGATCATCAAGTCCCAGCTGATGCCCAAAGCAGGCCCAACCCCAACTCAATCATCCCAGCCAGGGTTTGATCAAGCAAGATCTTAAAAACCTCCAAGAATGGAGATTCCAGCTGGTCACTGCCCTCTTAGGCTATGTCTACACTGGCAGGTTATTGCGCAAGAACTCTGGCGCAGGAACCCGTCCACACTGCCATGTGCTTTTGCACAAGAGCATCCATGGCAGCGTGGACAATCTCTTTCACAAGAAAGGTCATTTTAGCCATAGGGTTTTCTTGTGCAAGAAACCCCTGCCCTGCGTCCACAGTGCCCTCTTGCACAAGAGAGCTTACGCCTGTTAGAAAAGCACGTGGCTCTTGCACACGAAGCCCCCTCTTACCACACTTTACGGTAAATCTTCTTGCGCAAGAGCAGGCGGGCAGTGTGGCCGCTCTGCAGAAGAACGGCCGGTCTGCAATAACCCGCCAGTGTAGACACAGCCTTAGGGACGTAGTTTTTTCTAATATTCAATCTAGACGTCTCCCACTGCAGCCCTGGTCCAGCATGAGGAGGTTGGGGGGCTCCGAAGCTGCTCTGCTAGGGATGTTTCCCAATGGCAGCAGCACACCAAGGAGACAAACAGGGAGCGCGGTAGCCACCAGCATGTCCAGGGATGTTGCTCTTTAGCCCGCTCAAAAAAACCCTTCACCCATTTGCATGAAAAACTTGACACGTGGGAGCCAATCCCCAGCGCAGGAGCGCTAGTGCCAACCCCGCAAACGCAGCCTGCGGCGAGTGACTCTCTCTTGCCTGCGCCATCTGTGGTTCCCGTCCCTACGGTCTCCCCGCACCTCGCCACCTCTAGTGCGCTCGCAGCATCATGGCGGGGCAGATAGCATCTTCCTTTGCAGGTGGGGACGAGGCACAGAGAAACCAGCTCATCTATGCGAGGCCCCCAGCGTGCTGGCAGTACAGCAGCAAGCTAAGCCCGCGTCTCCTGAGGCCCAGGCCAATGCCCTGCCCACTGCGCCCCCCCTCACCCTCCCGGCAAGCGCCCTTGAGCTCAGCGAGGGAGCCGCTAGCTCTGCTTTACCTCAGGAATCTGAGGCTGCTTAAGAAATGAGGAGCCTCATTTTAGACCTGGATTAATCCTGGCTGCTCTCTGCCGCTGCCGGTGTCGTGTGGGTGGCAGAGGAGCAGACGGCCTCCGCGAGGAGGTCGGGATGGGCATGAGGCACGGGAGTGGGTATAACAGGCGGTGCTCGGGCAATGAAAGAAGGTACCGAACGGCTGGCGGGGGGAGGCGAGCCGGGGAGCAGCAAAGCAGGAGCTGCAGGCCGGGTGCAAGGGGGAGCAAGGACCTGAGCGCGGGGCAGCGCTTTAATAGCAGGGACAAGGACTTGGGCAGGCGCGCGGGTGAAGGTCCCTGGGGAGGGACGGTGCGGGAGGAAAAGAAGGGCAGGTGTTGGCGTGCAGGGCAGGGAGGCCGACCGAGGCCAGAGAGCCTAGTGCGAGGCACCAGGCTGGTGGCGGGGCAAGGAGGCTGGAGGGGAGGAGATGGCGAGGGCAGAGCAGTAGTGGGAGTGGCGGGGAGGGGTGAAGCCCCCAGCCATGGAGGAGGGGGGCTGGGAGACGCTGGGTTTGCTGAGGACGGGTTGGGACAGGCAGGAAGCGAGAGCAGAGTTGGGCAGCTGCGAGTCCAGGCAGGGGCACTTGGGCGCCAGCAGCACAGTGGAACTAAGGGCCAGGGAGGCGAGGTCGCCCGGGGGAAGTGGCAGGGAGAAGGGAGAGAACAAACCAGTGGGTGGGACGGGACAGGAGGGGAAAGGGGCTCTCAGAGGCAACGCGAAGCGCACGTCTCTCTGCTGAATCGATGGGCGGCAGCGGCGCCAGCAGGGGCCGATTTATCGCATCTAGCGGGGGCGCGGTGAGCGGCACGCCCGGGAACTCGGGTACGCCCCACGATGAGCAGCGCAGGCGCAGCATTTGGGGAGGGGGGTCAGCGGGAGCCTCTGCGGCTGAGTCACCGCGGTACCAGACCTAAGGACGGCGTCTTCGCTCCGGGATCGGCGTTGCTGAACTGGCCGCGGCAGGGCAGGCTGGGCCTACAGCCGTCGCCTGCACAGTAGGAGCAGAGCAAGTGGTGGCCCTTCAGGGAAATGGCTCAGCGGCGAGGGGAAGACGACAGGCAACGGAGAAGGGAGCTGCCGTGGGAGAGGAACCAGGGGACTGGGGAAACGGGTGGCAGAGCGATGCTAAGAGACGGCCAGAGCTGCAGCCAAACCCAGGGGCTCGGGGGTGGAATTGTGGAGGCGTCATTCGAGCAGGGGTGAAAAGGGACACACAGACGGGGAGGGGGAGAGGATCAGGCGGGGGCTCCCTCTTGGCTTTAAAGGCGTCAGCAGGAGCCTGGGCAGAGGCCCGAATGGGGAGGAGAGAGAAGGGGGATTTCACTGTTGGGCTGCTGGCGCGTGCCCACTATCGACGCTGATCAGCGGTGTGGCTGGGGGGGGCCCCCAGGAAAGCCGCAGGGGAAACTGCCCCCGGAGAGGAAGGCCGTGGAAGCCGTGGGGCCCAGGAGAGCCGGCACTAGTCTGGAAGGCAGGCACAACGTCCTCTACGGGAGCCGCGAGGATTAGGGCTCGGCAGCTGGAGTCTCGGGGGGGATCTTTGCTCTGGGCTAAGAGGCATTAGACAGGGATGATAACAGTTAATCCCAGACAGGCATCGGTCAGGACGCCGGAAATCACATCCTTTCAAATCCTCACTCCACTACCGAGGGAGGGCTGGGGACCCAGGCCACGGGGCGAGGGGCCCACGGGTGAGGGCTGCGGAGGGGAACGTCTTGGGGAGGACGGGAGTCTCACACTACGTGTGTGTGTGTGTGTGTGAAGACTGGCAGGGTTACTTGCACTCACAAGCAGGGCCGGTCCTAACCACTCGGCGGCCCCAGCTGGGGAAAATTTGTCAAGGAAAAAAAAAGTAGGGCCGAAATGCGGGCGCAGCCCCTTTAATTGCCACGGGCTTCTGCCGGGCTCTGGCGGCAGCCCCGGGCCACTGCTCAGCTCGCCCGCCCAAGACCGGCTCTGCTCACAAGAACCCTGAGCCAGCAGCAAAATCTCTGTTCCTCTCCGACTCCGCCGGCCCTGCACCTCGAGGCTGTCCATGCCTGCACCCCCTGAGCAGCTCCCAGGTAGCCCAACAGGCCCAGCCATGGCTGCTCCAGCACTAACCCTCGAGGAGACGCTGGATTCCATGCTTTGCGGAGGCATCTGCTCAGGCTGTTCGGGCCAGGCAGGGTTGTGGGTGAAGGCAGGCTCCCTGCCCTGCCCAGGAGACAAGCCCCCCCCTTCTCCCCAGCATCACTGGGAGGATGGAGTGCATGGCCCCAGCCTCCTCAGCCCCAGAGCACAGGGAGGGTGGGCACTGGGGGACAGCAACTCTTCCCCCCCCCAGATCTACAGCAGGCGTTCTGGGGGCAGTGCATGGGCGGGGCCAGGCTAGCTGCTGGTAAGGGCAGTGCCTTCCCCCGCTTAGCATACCCGCCGCCCATGCCCAGTGCCTGCTCCAGGTTGCACTCATTTTGTTTCCTGTATCATTCATAGAATCACAAACACTAGGACTGGAAGGGCCCTCGAGAGGCATCGAGTCCAGTCCCCGGCCCTCACGGCAGGACCAAGTGCTGTCTAGACCCTCCCTGCCAGGCGTCTGTCCAACCTGCTCTTCAATATCTCCAGGGATGGAGATTCCACAACCTCCCTGGGCAATTTATTCCAGTGTTTCACCGCCCGGACAGGCAGGACGTTTTTCCTAATGTCCAACCTCAACTTCCCTTGCTGCAGTTTAAGCCCCTTGCTGCTTGTCCTGTCCTCAGAGGCCAAGGAGAACAATTATCTCCCCTCTTCCTTGTGACACCCTTTAGATACCTGAAAACTGCTCTCGTGTCCCCTCTCAGCCTTCTCTTCTCCAAACTAAACAAGCCCAGTTCCT